CTACATCTTGCAATAAAGGGCTTTCCATTTTGGATGTGAACTTTCCTTCCATAACCATACCAAATCTAAAAGGATCGGTTACTGTCACTAGAATTGTGACAAATGTTGGATCTGTAAATTCTAAATACAAAGTTATGGTTGAACCTCCAAATGGAATAGCTGTAACTGTAAAGCCAACTTCACTAAACTTTAGTTCCAATGTCAAGAAGGCCTCCTACACTGTAACAATTTCCACAAGTTATCGCTTCAACACGGGATACTATTTTGGGAGCTTAACTTGGAATGATGGGGTGCATAACGTGAGAATTCCTATCTCTGTCAAGACTATGCATTGAGAATCTTATGGTGATATGATGCTTGTTTCAAGAATATATAAAATAAAGTTAAGTTATTTAATTTGTAGACCATGTAGCTCACGTGTTAGCATGGGCAACTGGTTCTTCTTCTATCCTTGCATTGTGAATATCTGTGCGACCAGCCTCTATTTTCCACTTGGTTGATTATTAATGCATTCAGTTATATGTGACCAAAAAAAAAAAGTTAAGGTATTTGTAAACCATGTCATTAATGTTGAACTGCATACATAAATTGATGAGGCAATCAAGAACCAGCATCACTAGTTTTCGCTTATATATGAACAAATTAAAAAAGCAAAGCAATTTTGCTCAGCTCATTTTTCCATCCAGTTGCCCTAGCTTGGTTTTTATTTTAATTTCCATTATTATATATTCTTAATCAACAACTCATCATCAAAACCTCGTACAAGTGGTGGTTAATTATAGTGTTCATGTTGTCATGTATTGATTGGAGTAGGACATAATTCAAGCAGGCCAGCAGGGCAATGATGTATTTTGGGAAGTGGCCATCTTCTCCATCATTATCAAATTAAACAATAATGTATATATGTGGGACTGCAAATATAATGGATCTATCTCAACTTCTTCCATTCAAATTAAAGTAATTCCACACTACCACCCTTAGCTTCTTCTTTTTAGATCAAAGGGAGGCCGGGGTAGACCCAACACTATACTACTGCATCCTAGCTTCTTTGTCCCTTTGCAATAATGTATTTCGAGAGGCCGGGACTTTTGACGAATCTCCTGATCAATCAGGTCTTTATGCTTTAGGGACTAACTGATTCTAAAGTAAAGCCTAAATCTCCTGATCAATCAGGTCAACTTAATCTTCACTGCCGGAACGCCAAAGATATGGTTAGCCACAAGTCACCATACTCAAATGATTTTCCAACAGTTACCTTAGAAACAGATTGTTGATGTTTGAAGGTTAGATTATAGAATTTGGATGATTCTTCTTAATTAGCTTAGAACATTAGAACAATCAATGCTTTGAATATCTCTCTCTTGTAAAATGTTAACTTCACAACTTTCAAACATTGGGTGACGAAGGATACCCCGTGACTATCGGAAGACATGTATGAGGTAAACCTTTTACTGTGATCATAGCCGGTAAAGAACTAAAAAAAGATAAATTAATTTGACCAACTGGACTAATATTGCTCTAAATTCATTTAAAAACCAGTTTGTATTACAATAGCAATTTAAAATTAGCCGGATCACCGGCATCGCTGAGAGAAGGTGATTGGGTGTATTCTTGAACCAGAAACATGCGCAGGCAATCCCGCCATCATGAATTCGACACCTGTTACTTTAAGATAATCCACAACAGAAGAATATAATAATATAATGTACTCTACTTCAATCCTCCTTAAACTTGTCTGCTTCAAATTTTCAATCACCTTTTTAAGGTGGGAACTTTTGTGGATACACAGCAAAGCTCCTTTTTTTCCCATCATTTTGTTTATTTGCTGTTTATTATCTTTAATTGTTGGTCTGTAGAGTTAAATCAGTGAATATAATACTTTAATTTTCTGATTGCCATATTTTTCTTGACCGCAACATAACTGTATATATGAGTATGACATCACCTTGTCTCATAGCAAGACGTCAGTAATTCGATCACTGTCTTCAATTCTTCAACAGCAATAAAAAATCATTTGACCAGTGGCACTACATACTACTTTGTAAACCAACGTTTTTTATGCAGAGGCAATCATGAAGCTTTGAAGAGAGGGAATGCCTTTCAATAATGTTATTTTAGTGACAATAGCGTTATTCCATTGAAATCAGCCACTTCAATAACGTAAGATATTTAATTTCAATAGTATTATTAACAATAATGTTGCTTTTGTCTGACTAATATTTTCACCCGTGCGATGCACATAATGAATTTATTATAATATTTTAAAAATATTTGAATTGATATACAATTATATAAATTATAACATCCAACATTATATAGTGCAATTAAAGAATTGAGTTGTATCGACTGTATGTTTTAATGTTATCATAGCTTGAATGGTCTGGCCATTTCCTTTTGTTTGGATCAATTTGGATATCGACTATTGTTTGGATGGTCTGGCCATTTCCTTTTTCATTTGAATCAATTTGGTGATCATTTTTAATTTTTAATCAAGTATTAATATTCATTTTCTTTTTCAATTGGCCTAATTTCCGTGCAATTTTTATTCTCAGTCAATTATTATTTTTTAATACATATTAATTTGTTAATTATTAATAACATATTTATTTTTAATATTTCCAGTCAATTATTAATAACAGATACCTTTTCCAATATAATTTACTTATACTATAGTTAATTCCGTTTTCTTTTCGAAATAGTTAATATGGAGATCTTTTTTAATTTTCAGACAATTATTAATACGGAGTATTTATTTTCTTTTTCAATTGGCCTAATTTTCGTGTCATTTATATTCTCAGTCAATTATTTTTTGCAATACATATCAATTAGTTAAATATTAATAACATATTCTTTTTTTTTTTAAATATTTTTAGTCAAATATAAATAATAGATTCATTTTCCAATTTACATATAGTATTGTTTGGACGGTCTGCCATTCCATTTTTCATTTTGGTTGATTGTGATAATTTTTAATTTCAGTCAATTATTAATATTCACTTCATCTTTCAATTGACCTAATTTACGTCCAATTTTTATTCTTAGTCAATTATTATTTTTAAATACATATCAATTAGTCAATTAGTTAATTATTAATAACACATTCTTTTTTAAATATTTCTTGTAAATTATTAGTAACAAAATACTTTACCAATTTATATATACTATTGTTTGGGCGGTCTTACCAATTATTATTATTTTTTATTTTTTTGTATTTGAGTCACTTTGGAATCATTATTAATTTTCAACCCATTATTAATATTCATTTCCTATTTCAGTTGACCTAAATTCCGTGCCCTTTTTATTCTCATTTAATAATTATTTTTTGTAATATTCTTTTTTAAACTATAATTTCACATATGAACATAGTGTGAATAAACAAATAAAACAAATGCATATTCAAAGTGATGTAAAATCATGCAATCTTACAATCTAAACAAAATACACAAATTTTATATGAAAACTAACTAGTGACGGAGCCACAATGGAGGCAGTGGGGTCAGCTGCCCCCCCCCCCCCCCCCCCCCCCCCCCCCTCAGCTCTTTCTCTTAATATATATATATATATATATATATATATATATATATATATATATATATATATATATACACACACACACACACACATGTATAGTCACTAAGTAGTTTAGTTGCTCAGTTAGTTGAGCTTTGAATTTGACATTAAAATGTCATGGGTTCTCAAACCCTATCCTTAGCAATTTTGAATACTGTTATTGTGTGTATTCTTTTATTTATTAAAATCAAAGTATTTATGAATATAATGTCTTTTCTATTCAAACTATTTTATCTAATCGATTATGTTTTATATTTTGCCATAAATATTTTTATAACATTTCAATGTGTTTTTTAAATTTCACCATACCCAAGTATAGTTTTGGCTTTGACCTTAACTATCATGTAATCTATCATAAATATTGTATTATAATTTATAATGTATTTGAACCATATTATAGGTGTTTGATATTTTATCATTGACAATTCTAAAATCATTTCAAGTCTGCCCCCACTCACGTCATTTTCTGGCTCCGCCACTGAAACTAACTAATATCTAATGAATTGGAAAAAGAATTTTGTGGAAATTTTCCATTTTCCCGTTTTAAATACATATTAATATATTACAAAATTTTATATGAAAAATTCCAACTCAGTTCTAATATGTTAGTTAATTTTCATATAAACTTTTACCTCGACTAAGGCTCGAACTAATAATCCTCCAAATGGAAATCCAACCCAGGTACCATTAGACCACATAGTCCTAGTCCATTAGATATTAATTAATTTGTCTCAAATCATATCTTTTTTTCCGTCATAAATAATTAATCTATAAATGTAATAATAAAATTACGCACCTTAACCGAGTTGTTGATTTTGACAATATCAAAGGCTATGATTAATCCGCAAGTTTCACAATAGAAATTCTATTCTATTACATACATTTCTTATTGAATAACATTTTTATTCATTCAAAATCTATTCAGTGAACTAACATGATGTAAATCTCTAAAAAATCCTTTATGTGCATAAAGGAATTCATTTGGTTGCTTCCAAATAGTAATCAAGACTAATGTTTAATTAGCTCATTAGTGGAGCGTGCCCTCTATGATTGAGGATATTAGCAACGTAACATTCTCTTCATACAATGTATTATTTTGATACACTCGACATTAATTAAACTGACTGTTTACTTTATTAAAGTGCAGTGGTTGATTTCAATGGATTACCACAACTCCTCCGATCCATTATTGCTGTCCCACATTATTTGATCATGATCGAACAAGGCGGCCATCAAATTGTTGACTGTTGCATGAGGTTGAACACCGTACCATGAATAACCATTAACCAATGCTCATACCTTATAATGAGTTATATATGAATTGAAGACTGGAAATTGAAAGCCAAGCTACGGCAAATGGAAGAATTTGCAAAATTGCTTATAGCTTTTTCACTCACAAGAGAAAATTTAAATACATGCACAATAGTCTATACAATGCAAATAACTTAATGCTTATTTATTCTTAAAACAATCTTAACAAGCACCAATTTAAGATTCTTAATACTTAGTCTTGACAGATATAGGAATTCTCACATTATGCACCCCATCATTCCAAATTAAGCTCCCAAAATAGAATCCTGTGTTGAAACCATGGCACGTTGAAATTGTTACGTTGAAGGAGATCTTCTTCACATTAGGACTGAAGTTTAGTGTACTTGGCTTTACAACAACAATTATTCCTTTTGGAGGTTCAACCATAACTTTGTATGTAGAATTTTCAGGTCCAACATTTGTCACAGTTCTTGTGAGAGTGATTGGGCGTTTTAAATCTGGTATGGTTATCGAAGGAAAGTTCACATCCAAAATGGAAAAGCCCTTGTGGCAAGATGTGGTTTGTCCTGCAATTATACTAATGGCTTTGCTGCTATATCCCATGGCACAAAGACAGTTAACATAATCTGTTGTGCTCATATCATAAACGAGGCCGGGTTTTCTTGCTCTATTAGGATTTATGATCCCTCCCCCATAGTCAAATGCATCTGCCAACTTACTAATTGTCTCTCCTTCATTAAATATAGGTTCTCCAGACGATCGGTCAGTTGTCCATGCTACAAATTAAACACATAATGCATATATAGTTCGAAGGATTTAAAGGAAAATATATAAAAGGAATAAGATAATCATTTACTTATGAAAATGTAGGAGTTGTAGCAAACCTGTTGTGACAATTGCAGATTTTATAACAGCTGGAGACCAATCTGGGTGGGCAGCTTTGAGTAGTGCAACTATTCCTGCCACATGTGGTGTTGCCATAGATGTTCCGCTGATAAAGTTATACGTACTAATTCGCACAGCAGGATCACTAGGAATATATGCTGCTAATATATTTGTTCCTGGTGCCGCTATATCTGGCTACAAATTATTGCAATTTCAAAAGGTTATGCCAATGTTGAGTTTGGGAAACTTGAACTTCCTTGAGGGAGCAAAATAGTACATACCTTAAGTATTGCTGGGGCTATAGTATAAGGGCCGCGTGATGAATACTTTGCTATAACACTGGATAGTGGCTTACCGATCCGAGTTTTGGATGGACTTAACTGCACCTTCGGATTTCTAAACTTATAGTTTCATTAGTCACATACATATATTAAATATTCAAGGGAAAATTTTATGGTAATTATAAAATTATTTTGACTACCTAATATGCATATACCTTGTGGAGCGGGCGTAAAGAAGTATCTTAGTTCCAACCTCGTAATCAACTTGTACACTAGGGAAATCATCATTGTATGCATCTAGTGCTGTAAATGACTTCTGTGACACAATAATTCCCGAACCACCAAGTTCTCTCACAACGGCTCGAGCTTCCCCTACAATGCCAGCTACATCAAGATCTAAGCCATGCTTTCCAGTAAAACACAACACCACTATTCCATCTAACGCATGAGTATCATTTGGAGATATAATTTCTGGAGTTAGTTTGTCACAAAACCTACAGAACACAAAAACAGAATTGACATATAACGTAATACTGCAGGTTATTTGCAATACAGTGCAGTATTAGGAATTATCATACACTACTATTTTTGGGTCAGTAGGGTATAAGTTTACAACGCCTGTGTCTTTCCCTGTGAACAACGATTGACCCTACATAAAGAAAAGCAATCTTGTATTATTATTTAAAATAGTAGAGTTTTTGTAATTGATAATATAATACTAAGATAATTTACCATCAAGGTTTGACCATTTCCTAGTGTGATTGGGGTAGGGAATTCTCTGTCAGGTGTAGTAGCAGCAACTGTTAAAATCCATGGATCCGCACCAGACACGGTTTGAGCAGCAGGCCCTTCGTTCCCTCCTGCAGCAACAACAGTGATCCCATGTGCAACAGCATGAAAAGAACCAAAGTGGAGTGAATCGTTAGGGTCTACTTCAGCACTTAAAGGCACATTTGCCCCAAAAGAAGCAGATATAACATCAACTCCGTCATGAATGGCTTCATCAAAGGCCTTGAGAGTATCAGCACCCATGATGATGCCACCTTCCCACCCGATCTTGTAAATAGCGAGCCTTGCACGAGGTGCACCACCCCTAAATGTTCCAAATGCCAGTCCTTTGTAGCTCACATTTGACACGAGTGAACCAACTGCAGTACTAGAAGTGTGTGTTCCATGCCCCTTAATGTCCCTGGGAGAGATGTAGTCAGCAATTCCTGTAAAATTTCCAGGCTGTCCTATCTCAGCCAGGAACCCATCAACGAAGTACCGAGCTCCAATTAGTTTTCTATTGCAATGCTTCTTCGGATCGAACTGCTCTCCAGACTCACAGTAGCCCTTCCACTTTGAAGGAATTGGCCCTAGTCCTCTATCATTGTAGGCTTCATTCTCTGGTGTCACTCCTGCAGGTATACATACATTCTAAGATTAACTAGACTAGTTTGACTTAAGACTGTAAAAAAAAAATGAATACAAGGAGTGCACCTGTATCCAAAACAGCAACAATGGTACCGTCACCCATCTTAGTATCGTGCAGGAGATTGGTGGCAGAGTTCAAGGATAGGCCAAGATAATCCCAACTCCTGGTAGTTCGCAACTTGTACAAGGAATTAGGAATGACTTTAACAACGCCAGGTAAGTCTACAAAAATTGTAATTTTTAGGAGAAGAAACAAAAAGTCAAGTACTTGAGCCGATTCCACAAGCTCTTCAATCCCATTTCTCAGATCTTGAAAACCATATATATATATATATATTACCTTGAAAGGTTTGAGCATGGGACTTGGTCATCATGGCTGCAAAACCAGAAAATCCATGCCTGTAGCTGTAAATCATTGAATCTGCTGCTGCTTCTTTGCTGCATCAGTTGTAGAAAAGCATTGCCAAATAGGTTTCTAAAATTAGCAAGAACAAACAGAGGATATATATAACTTTGTAGAATATAATGCAACAAACTGAAGCACCTTCCGAGGACTGTAGCTAGCATATCATGGTGAGTAGAAGTGATGAGGTCTACATCATCATGCTGCCTCGCTCCCATATACACAATGTAAACCTGTTTTTAGTGAAAAATGAGAAAGAAACATCAGTGAAGCCGAAGCATTGTTCAAAATTGACCAATTCAAAACTGAGTGTAAATTACAGACTTTGGGTTCAGACAATGCCGAGGTATGGACAAGAGCATTTTGGAAGACAAGTAGACAGCCGAAGAAGAAACTGAACAGAATCAATTCATTTTGATTCTTATCCATATTTTGGATAACACAAGAAATTCAAGAAAGTGTTTATGCTTGATATATCTCTTCTCCTTCCAAGACACTAGTATTTATAGCATATATGTGTGTGATATTCAATAGGAAGGAGTGACAGGCATATTCCCTCTCTTCAAACATTCATGATTGCCTCTGCATAAAAATTAGGAAAATACTTGTGGTGTACTCTCAACTTGTATTCCCTCTCACATGTGACACTTTTCTGTGGACCCACATGTTGAAAATAATCAATTCTGATTTGTCACCTCAAGGAGTAGAATTTGGGAGTTCATGTAATAGAACTCTAAAAATTATTGGATTACAAAATACTAGTACAGTGCTACTAGTCAAAAGTTTTTTTGTTCCTGTTGGAGAATGCATGCCGAGTGTTTGAAAATTGGACTAAGAGAGAAGACTTAATCACTGCAAGCGACCAATAGATAATCAAACATGCAATTATGAACAAATTGGTTTCTACCTCTAACAGAGTCCCGTTTTAGAACATTGAAAGAAGACAGAGAGAAACAGTTGGTTACGGTTAGAGTTGGAGGTTGGGAGTGTGGATGAGCGTAGCAGGCTCCCAAGCCATTCCAGCTCAGTTTGATCCAAGTTGGAACAAAATCAAAGTTGATGGAACTTGACGCAGCTTGGAAGTGGACATATCAAGAGACACACCCAAGTAATATTATTCTTAGCCCAAAACAACCAAATTAGAACATCATACAAGGTAATTTTTGCCGAGTTAGTAACTACAAATGTTCAAAATTCGACCTATTGAGAGAGCTATCTGTTAACATTCTGGGTTTGAACGGGATAATGAGCAATTTATGTTTGTTTGTCTCGTTATACTCATTTTCTGATTAAGATCATAAAGCAAGCTTCACTCATAGTGCACTTTAGATAATGATTGCGAATTTTTTTCTAAATCAAATAATACCATTTGAAAGAGGAGCGAAGAGGGTGTTCGATTTTCGTTTTAAAAGAGTAATATTTTATAAAATCTCACATAATTTATAATTGTGAGGGGACGTGATTTCTTAGATGTTACCAAAAATAAACTTTAAAACAAAGATTAAAAATCATGCATTCTCTATAATGTCGACTCCACACTCTCTTGAAACAAGCAAAGGAATATGAATATATGATATATTGATATTACAAGATTATGTGAGATAACTTAAATCAAATGTCCTCTGAAAAGCATCTAGGGCTATAAGTTTGTAACTCTATTGATATATTATATTACGGGAGTGAATATCGTGTGAAAAGTAGATCAAAAGGTGTTGAATAGTAAATGGTTAATCACAAAAGAGTTAATAACTAAAAGGGTGAAAAATTACCAATTTGATCATCAACTATCATTCTTAATCGTCTAATTAAACTTCAACTATAAAAACGTAACCGTACTCAATTTAATACTCTGTATAGTATCAATTAAGATTCTATCCATAATCGGTTAAATTTAAGAGTAAAAATGTAATGAAATGGGAGAAGAAGGAATATAATGAAATGAAATCTTTTAGTTTATCAAAGTGCATGGCAGCTGGTTTCAATGAATAACCAAAACTCCACCATTATTGCAAAGTGACAAAGAAGGATGTATTATTAGTATAGGTCTGTATAGTGTTGGGTCTACCCTCCCTTTGATCGGAAAAAAGGAAGGGTGCTAATTACTTTGAATGGAATTGAAGAAGTTGAGATAGATCCATTATATTTGCAGTCCCACTGCACGTACATTTTTGTTTAATTTGATGATGGAGAAGATGGCCACTTCCCAAAATACATTATTGCCCTGCTGCTTGTGTCCTATTCCAATCAATGCATGAAAACGTTAAAATTAGGATGGACACTATAAGTAACCACCACTCGTACGAGGTTTTGATGATGAGTTGTTGATTAAGAATATAACAATGGAAATTAAAATAAAAACCAAGCTATGGCAACTGGAAGAATGAGCTGAGCATAATTGCTTTGCTTTTTTGTTCATATATAAGCGAAAACTAGTGATACTGGTTCTTGATTGCCGCAATCTATGTATGCGGTAGTTTGCCCGCATGGACAGCTCAGTTAGTCATAGGAGTGAAGTTTGAGAAGAATGTATGCAGTAGTTCAACATTATGAAAACATTAAAGACATGATTTACAAATAACTTAACTTTATTTTATATATTCTTGAAACAAGCATCGTATCACCATAAGATTCTCAATACATAGTCTTGACAGAGATAGAAATTCTCACGTTATGCACTCCATCATTCCAAGTTAAGCTCCCAAAATAGTATCCTGTGTTGAAGTGATAGCTTGTGGAAATTGTTCAGTGATAGGCCTTCTTGAAATTGGAACTAAAATTTAGTGTAGTTGGTTTCACAGTTACAGCTATTCCTTTTAGAGGTTCAACCATAACTTTGTGTTTAAAATTTACAGATCCAACATTCGTCACAATTCGTCAATTCTAGTGAGGGTAACTGGATCCTTTTAGATTTGGTACAGTTATGGAAGGAAAGTTGACATCCAAAAGGGAAATATCCATATTGCAAGATGTAGTCTTTCCGGCAATATATCCCATGGCACAAAAATACTGAAGATAATCTGATGTGGTCATGTCACAGATGAGGCCAAGAGATGTTACTTTGTTGGGGTTTATGATCCCTCCCCCATAATCAAATGCATTGCCAACTTAGTAAGTACTTAGCTTGAACCGAATCTTGAAATGAAAAACTACGTACCCTGAATGGTTTGAGCTTGGGACTTGGTCATCATGGCTGCAAAACCGGAAAATCCATGCCTGTAGCTGTAAATCATTGAATTTGCTGCTGCTTCTCGGCTGTAGAAATCCATTATATTGTCAAATAAGTTTCTAAAATTAGCAAGAGAAAATTTTAATTTTGGTCACATTATTATAGGTGCATTGTTAATTTCAACATTTGACTTTTAAAAGTGTCAATTTAGTACCTTGACTATGTAATTTTTGTCAATTTTGGTCACTCCGGCCAAATTGACGGTCAAATTTGGCCGGAAAAATTTAATCCAACATTTAGTCTAGAAAGGATTAAAAGACGATTTTGCCCCTCAGATTATAGACTAAATGTTTGATTAAATTTTTTTCGGCCAAATTTGACCGTCAATTCAGCCGGAGTGACCAAAATTGACAAAAATTACATAGTCAAGGTACTAAATTAACACTTTTGAAAGTCAGATGCTGAAATTAACAATACTCCTATAATCATGTGACCAAAATTGAAATTTTCTCAAATTAGCAAGAACGAACAGAGGATATATTAATTTTCAAAAGCTTGATATCTAAAATGTAAATATACAAATTTTAATTTTATTTTAAAATTCAATTTAATTTGCTACTTGGTAGTACGCTACTACTTGAATGGATTTATAGTATATTAAAAATGAACATTCATTATATTAATACTAAATATTTATTTGTAGTTCACCTTATAATATGAATCTAATTGACAATATTGTAATTTTGCATTTTCTCAGTTTAAGAGTATTAATAGAGATAAACTAATGGTAAACTGAACTGACTGACCCAGAGGCTTGACTGGTCAATCATTCAGTTAAAACGTAGCTTAGTATAAGACGAGATACTCATGCAGAATATAAATCAAACACATAAGATGTTTACCCAGTTCGATACAGTGTGTATCTACATCTGGGAAACGATCATCGAGGCGTCCAATCCACTAAATCATAATCCAATGTACAAAGGTAGAGAAACAGTAATCTCACCAAAGTGCCCCACACAAGGTCAGTACCCAGTCTACAAAGGTTTAGTGGATTGTTGAAGTCGGAGAGCCACGCATGCAGAAGTCTAATTCAATTGGAGAGCTAACTCTGATGCAGTCCGCTTCACTGACGCAGTCCCACGTTGTTCCCACAACTGAGTGATCTAAGCGTCCTTTCGTTTAAGCAACGTTCTTTCTTCTCAAGTTCTTCATCAGAATCACCAAGAACTTAATGTCTTCAAAGATTAATATTCCTGTGTAGCATAGAGGATTTTCGTCTTTTTCAACGTAACCCTAATTCTTGATCGAATGAGGGTACTTATACTTCCTTGGTAAGAACACTCTCCAAAAAATATCTTTGATTGTAGATGGTAGGACGATTTTTGTGAAGAATAAAATCTTTCAGATTCGGTCCATACCTTCCAAGCTGATCCGCTGATATTCTTTCCAAAACTGTCTTCACAAACCGTGTTCAGCATTTTGGAAACATCTCCCTTTAACAGATCTTCCGTGGCAGTGCGTCTGTTGAAAGTACTGATCAATCAGTCTTCTATAAGAACAAACAGACACCAAACTAAACCCTATATTAATTTGCCATAATAATATTGCCAATTATATGTTGGGGTTTTGAACAAAATAAAACACTAACAAATATGATTTAGCAACAAGTTAGATATATGAACTTGAATGTCATGAAAGATTAAGGCAAGTACATTAAGCAAAATAATATTTTTTATTTAAAAAAGAATATGAGAAATAGATGTGAATAATCATGTTTTTCGTTTTTCTATTATTTGTGTAGTAGATAAGAAAAATAAGAGAAGTATGAAAAATGAAACAAAAAAATTTGAAAAATAGAAAGGCCCATCATAAGTTTGAACCCCAAACTTAAGGACCCCCCTCACGTTAATTACCTTAGAGATTTGTGAAAAAAGAGGTAAATTGCATGACGTGTCTTGGTGGTGCAGTGATATGAGTTTTTGCAGTAATTCTGGTATCCCATATCTTGCGGGACTCAACCATGTGTACTTGTTGAATATTATCCCAAACTCATTATTTCATTCACCAAGCTATGCCCCGGGATACTAACCCGATCGAGTTAATACCCAATTTGGTCTCTCGACTATTAGGATTTCGATTCACCACTTTAGTCTTCAACTTACAAACATTCTTAATTCCATCCCTAACTATGCAATTTTTACCTAAAATAATCATTGCTTCAAACCAAAATAGTCTTGATTGAGGAACATTTTGGTTAATAATTGCATAGTTAAAGATTAAATTGAACAAGTTTAGAAGTCCGAGAGTAAAATGGC